TTTAAACCCCGGGAACATTCATTTAAACAATTTAAATGCCCCGCCCTCAATGTATTAATTTCCACTGCTCCAACCACCCCTGCTGCAGACCCACCCCATCATCTCCCATCTGAATGATGCTATATTGCCCAGGCCAGCCCCTCCCTCAAAGGCCGTAACCTCCAATTTAACCTGCACATAGAGAAACGTGCTGCCCCTTTGCGTAACCCCCACCTATGGGCTACAGCATGCCCTCAACCTGACCCTGTGCTCATGCTGCCACCTTCAGCGTCCCCCATCGTCTCTCTGCTCTGCACAGGCCCCGTAACCACTCATCCTCTCGGCCCCTTCCTACCCAGCCCCTAGCTCCCATATCCAGTGTACCCATTTCTACTTGAAAATGCTTTAAAAAATCACAGAAGATGACACGCTTTATATTGGGGGATAATTTTGGACTTACAGAAAAGTTCTAAAGATACTACAGAGAGTTCTCATTAACCCTTCACCTGATTTCCCGTAATATTAACATCGTTTTGACATCTGTCAAAACTAAGAAACCAACATTGCTTGTCGATGTTTATTCAACTTGTTTGTAAACAAGAAAGTCTGAAACTTTCTGAGCAGGTAGGCAAAGTCACACCTGGTGCTGTGAAGAGGAATGGTTGGCCAGAGTGTATGCTCTGGATTTCTCTACACTGAGGGTGGAATGACAAAGTGGCTTTCAGGACACCCTCGAGTGGCCTTTGGTGGCCTTGAGAGAGCCCGAGGTCCCAACCTCTGTCCAACAGGCTGACACCCACTGGTAGAGACTGTGACTTCACAATTTGATCCCAGAAGGGACTGTGAAAGCGGTCAGGGGAAGAAAAAGGAGAAATAACATCTATCATACAGCCTTGCCTCAAAGGCTCAAGAAGAAAGCAAACATTTTCTACTAAAAGTGAAGATAGGTAAAAGGAATTGGGAACTGTATGCTGTAGGTCTCACTCCAAGGAATAATTTATCAGTGCTGTGGAGCTGTCAGCCACTGACATGATAAGGAATAACACCAAATGAATAATGTTTCCTCCAAAACCAACTCCTTTAATTACAAGCCTCTTCTTTCCAGAAGAGAGACAGAAGATGCAGAAACACCAATTTCATGCACTTGTGCCTGAATAATGTCTCCATGCTGCTTTTTCCAGATGGCGACCTTCTCACTGGAGGGACTAATGATGTGGGCATATTTAGTGAAAAACCAATAACGGAGTGTTTAACCTTCAACAACAAAAAGCATGTTGTACAAAATGTTCCTTGGGATACATTAGAAAATATCAATTACATTGCTCACTGAGGTGTAATCAGCTGTAATAATCAAAATTAATTTTTAAAAATAATTAAACAGACCCCAGGGCAAATAGTTGATGCTTGTATCCTATGACATCACAGTGTACATATGTACCTGAGAAGTTGTGCCTTCTGTTACCAACAAAGGCATCTCGCGAGGCTGCATGATGAATGCGGGGTCTGAGGCTGGTGAGTTCCACCCCAGCCAAAGAATGAGGAGCTCCAAGCATTTCCTCGCTCATTCTTTAAGAACCTTCTATGTACCAGGCATTGTGCCCAGCCCAGACTGAGGTGCTGGAGTAGGTTGCTGCTAAGCAAAGCTGCAGTTCATTTTTAAAATTAAAATGTAAACCACTTTGTTTCAGAACAATTTGCCTTTTAAAAATCCACAACATACAAGCGTCAGGACAGTTAAACAAATCAGGTTGAAGGCAAAATGGGACTCAAATAGGAAGGAAAAAGTGAGGGAGATGAGTGTGTGCACATACGTGTGTGTGTACCTACGTGTGTGTGTGAGTACATGGTTTGCAGAGGTTTATGCCACTACGTGTGCACAGTTACAAAAGTTGGTCCATGCTTATCTCTCCAAGCTTCTGAGTGTCCAGATCAAAGAGTAAAACATAACAGTGACAGAAGTCCTGCTGTTCATTTGCTGTGGAAAAGCACAGTTCTTCCTGGGGCTAACGGCTGAAGGCGAAGTCCCCCGTGGCTCCCCCTGGCATAGCTCCTTATGCCAGCTACAATGGCCTTGGCCAACCTAGGACACCCCAGCACACACCTGCCTTGGTGCCTTTGCCTGGCAGTCCTCTCTGCCTGACCACTCTTTCCTGGAGAGTCACAAGGCACATGTCCTTCCTTATTTCTCTGCTCCTACAACAACTGCCAGAGAGGGCTTCTGACTACCTCCGTCTAAACAGCCTGACACCTGTTTCACCACCCTCTCCCAGTTACCCTGCTTATTTTTCCCTCATTGCAGTCAGCACTCCCAACATTTATGAATTTATTTATCTGTTAATTGTCGATAGTTACCCCCTAGAAAACAGCCTCCATGAAAGCAGAGAATATGTCACTTTGTCTCTCTTCTATGATCTCAGAACTTAGAAAAAGTGAGAGGGTACAGACTCAAAACTTAATATTTATTGAGTGAATGAATGAATAAACGAATGGTTGAGACCTCAATTGGTATAGAAACATCTTCAACTGCCTGCCTTCACCCAAAGAGAGCCAGTTTCAAATATTCTTTTTTCTAGATTTCTCAATGAGTCTAGAGTGAACTGTGAGAAGCCATTTGTGAACCTACATGGCCCCAGATTTTGCAGCCTATTCAGCTTCTTTCTTATCTGAAAGCTTTTTTCAGATAAGCTGGTTCTCAATCCATCTCCCTGGGACCTTGAAGCAGCTGAGCTGAGCCAATGACAGTGACCTGGGAGGGGATGTGGCACTGGCAAGAGGCAGGACCAATAGCCTGCAAGGGTTCCCATAAAACGCATATCCATGCACAACATCCCAGCCATTCCTTTCCTGACTCCCAGCCTGACTGACCTGACCTCCTGGGGACAATGCTAACTTGGGTGAAGCCAAGGGAAGAGGGGCTGGGTTGCTCCTGCCACAAATGGCACTGGTCAGGAGCAAGTGCTTAGGCACAAGTGAAGATGCTCCAGCTCCCAGGGCCTGGTGAAACTTTATCCCGTGGAGGACGGTCCTCCCCTTGGCAGAGAGAGCTAAAGGGTAAAATGGAATGTTATAAACTGTATTCTGTTTCTAAAGTACTTGCAGTTTCCAAGAGCTTCCACATATTCTAGTTTAAAAAACATATCCCCAGTTGTAGGTTCAGGAATCATGGCTCCAAGAGGCTATGGAATGGCCTAAGATCATGCGCAACAGTACAGAGAGGGGAGATATTATCGTCACTCTGCTACCTCCTGGCTGCAAAGCACTTGACTTTATGAAATGGGGATAATAAGAGCTGTGTGACACAGCAGTTACAATCTAAATTATGCACCCAGTCAGCCAGTGAGCCTGTTGACAAACTTACTGAGCAGTGTCTTCCACAAGCCAGCACTCTGAAGACACAGTCTACTCTGGCTCTGAGCACCAGGAAGCCAGCCAGCCCAGTCAAGCTCATTTTCTGTCTTCCCTTCTATGTTTGGGCTCTTTCTCCATATGTCCTAAAGCCTATTGTTCCAGAAGCTTAGAAAAAAGAAACTCTTCTTTCCTTGGTTACTTGGGCAGTTGCAGGAAGCCCTTCACTCCTTTTTTGTCCTCAATATTTGATGACAGTGTCCTTTCCCATCAGTCACTGACCTCAGTGGACAACATACACATGGGGACAGCAGGTCCTAGATTCTGAGCAGATGGAATTTGGAGTCAAGCTCACTTGCCAAAGTTAAGTGGGCAGAGAACTGCAATTGTGTAATGTGTCTATCAACTATCTACTCTACCTCCCTGGGGAGCCCTTTCCCACAATTTCCCACTGTTAATTGTCCCAAGGAGATACAGACTCAGAGAAGTTAAGTATTTTGCCCAAGGTCTCCTGACCCTAAAACCATGTCCATTCAATGACCACAATCTGCCTCTGAAGATAAGTCAGTGACCTCAGCATGAGAATAAATGTCAGATTGTGTTTTCCAAAAAGAGCTTACAGGCTCTTGCAGAATCTTGCCACCTCCCCACCAGGAGAGGAGTATATTTCCCTCCCCTTGAACCCGGGTAGAACTTTGTACATGTCTCAACCAAAGGAATACAGCAGAGGTGATGCTGCATGGCATCTGAAGCGAGTTCATAGAAGACAGTGTGGCTTCTGCCTGGTTCTGTCTCTGTCTCTGTCTCTGTCTCTGTCTCTCTCTCTCTCTGTCTCTCTCTCTCTCTCTCTCTCTCTCTCTCTCTCCTCCCTCCCTCCCTCTCTTCATCCCTCCCTCCCTCTCTCTCATTCTCATTCTCATTCCCCTTCCCTATGGAAATTAGCCCTTGAAGCCCATCCACCAGGTTATAAGGAAGCCCAGGACACACGGAAAAGCTGTATGTGGGTATTCCAACCTACAATCTCACCTAAGGTTTCAGACTAAAGACAGCAGCAACCACCGAATGGGCGAGTAAATGAGCCTTCTGATGATTCCAGGAAAAGCCCAGACATCATGGAGTAGAGACACCCCACCCACACCCCTGCTATGCTCCATATTCTTTCCTGTAGCATCCATGATCACAAAAAGTCACTTTTGGTGCCTCTGAGTTTCAGAACTGTTTGTTAGGCAGCTTTAGAGAAATGGATCCGAAAACCCCAATAGTTCGGCCCCACACAGTTGAGAGGACCCAGTACTACATCTCATAGTAATAGCACCAGTGTTTCTGTCCCTCATTGCTGAGCCCACACACCCAGCTCCCACTGAGCTATGGGCTGGTGCTCTTTGAGCACACCTGACTCAAAAGGAGAATGGAACAGAATCAGTTTGGTTTTTAATGCCATAAGGAACACCTGCTCTTGGCACTCACGGAGAGTCCATTTTCACCTCAAGTTAAAACTAGCCTAAGATCTGGCTCCACTAGATGCAGCCTCAACTGGGAAGCCACATGCATAGCCTTAAAGGTTCAGAAGAACATGGGATTAGATTGTGTCTAGTGACAACAGAGAGAGAAGACATGACTCATGGAGTTTGAAGCAATGCCCAATGCTTCTCTGAGGAAAAGGGATCTGGGCTCACCTCTGACTTGCACTCAGGGTCCTTGGCCTGCCGCCCAGGCATCAACCTCATGGCTGAGGACCAGCTTCCGCTCCACGAAGTGACTTTGCTATGGTGTCCCACATTTGAGCGACTGGTCAGCAATTTCTTCTCAGATGCTGGGGACAGGGAAGCAAAGGCTGTCAGAGATGAAACTGAGAGAACACACACTATTTCTACAGCCGGCTTGGCTTTCAAAGGACCAGCCAGGAACTCGAGCAGTGTGGGTTTTGTTGTTACTAGGCCTGGCTTACACTCCTAGGTCACTGACTTGAAGTGAGATGTTGGGCAAGTTAGCTAAAGTTCCTGAGCCTCAGTATTCTCATCCTGTACAATGGGAATAATAGTATCTACCTTCAGTGTGATGTCATGAAGAATAAATAAGATTATATGTTTAAAACACAGACCCTGGAACATAGAAAGTTTTCAACATATGGTTGTTGGCAAAAAGAGAGCCATTTGTAAGCTTTAAGGTCCATCCCACCATTTTATTCCACTATATGTGCATGGGTATATATGCTCTATTTTATTGAACTTTTCCCTGTAATGAAATCTGACATTCTGACTTCAAATTGTACATGTGCTTGTATATACATAGTATGTACATACATATTTGCCAGGGCTAATTTGGGAAGTCAGTGAAATAAAGGTGCTACACCATTGGGTAGTCTGGAACAATATACATGGAAATATCTCTTAAATCACTGCAATTTTTGTGACGCTGAAAGAGTCAAAATAAGTACATGAGCCATAATTTGACAGCAATGGCCTCCTTAAAAACAAAATTAAATCATCAGTCCCCCAACTGTGTTGACTATTATGAGCGTAAAATTGTTGAGTCACTGATAGAATCCACAGGACATTAATATCGTTGGGACAAAGACTTCCAGTTGGAACATAAAGAACCTGAGGCTCCAGGTCACTGCATGATTTGGTGGTAAGGTTTCAAAGCTGGTAGGTAAATATCAGGGCAGGACCTAGAACCCCAGGTTCCAGAGCCCAGGCTGGAGCACTAAAATGGTGGTCCTTCAATCTAAGAGATTACTAGAATCTACTTGCTTGACTGGCACCTCTGGCCTTCCTTTCACCTGAGATGCAAAGCAGCATGCACTCTTTGTGAGCAAAGACTCGTGAGGTTTCAGTGAAGTAAACCCCACCCACCAAGGGGATGAGAGGGAAGGTCTGGGTGGAAATGGCTCTGGACCCCAAGTGGAGCCTTGGGAAAGTCTGGCTCTATGAGTCCCAGAATCTGTTCCTCAGAGCCAAGTGGACAGACCTAGGTAATGATGCCAGGCCTTGAGCATTGTCTCCTCCCAGAGAGGGGTGACCTCTTCAATCTTCACTTCTCTTTCCCCAGGTTTTACAGAAAGATCAATCTTGAAGGTGTCCTCCAGCTCCTGCCGCCTCTGTGCCACCAGCTGCTGCCAGAGGGTCCGCACTGCCTTCTGGATATTGTGCTGGACTAAGAGAGAGAGCACATCACATAATCAAGAGGGCCTCAGTATTTCTCCCAGAGAGGACCAGGGATGGCATCTTACTCATATCCTTCTTGAACATCATCCTAGCTTTGCAAGCTCCATCCAGAAACCAGTCAGTATGTATAGCCACAGGCTATATATACATAGATGCTACCAACATCTATGTGAGCTGGCTTTCCCCCCCGCTTCTAACTGCTCACCACCAACTCCTGCCTGCTTCACATGTCTAGAGCTTGGAAACATGAATATTGAGTTTAGGGAACTTCTTTCTCCCACCTCCCAATTCTGTTAGATATCAGAGAGATACCTGTGCGAGTTCTAGGTAACCAAATAGCTTCCCCCCAAAAGCTCCTTCCAACCTACATTTTATATTGGCCACTCAGAGGAATCGACACCTAACCCAAGGCTGTGCCCATGGGCCCAGGACTCAAATCAGTCCTCTTTCCTGGCACGGAATCAAGCTTTCCACCACCCACCCATCTCAGTGCCCTGTATTTGTTCAGATATGAACAAATCTATCAAGCTAATACTGCCTACTATGCCCCACAACTATAATCCCCTGTTCAGTGCCTAAATTTCCTTTGATCTTGGACCACTCGGTCCCCCCTCTGGTACCAGCTGTACAGTCTGTTTATTTCACCCTAGAAGGATGGACATTGCTCAGTTCATTCTACTAGCCAAGTCCCCAAATGCTAATGTCCACGTTGTTATTACTATGTCAGAATAAACTTTAAACTCATATGCATTTTGAGCACTGGCTTTGGGCATCTATCTGACCAGAAAACAAGCAGTTGTGCCTACTATCTAGTATCACATAATATCACATGGTAAGTGGTGGCAAACCAAAGTGATAGAAGAAGGTCTGCTGAAGTCTCCTGGACCAATCTCTCAAACACATGGATCTGGATGATATTTATTTACTTGTTTGTTTGTTTATCTATTTTAATGAATTTCCAATCCCTTTAACTTGATTTTAATTAGCAAATCCAAGAACAAACTCCATTAAGCCAAAAAATCTTATAAAAGAAACTAGTTTATTTACCCCATTCCCATTTTCTAGGGAAGCTGAGAGCCAGCTAATGTCTTACACTGGGTGAGACAGCATGCTAGTTTTTCTATCTAGTGGTCCAGAGGAAAATTCAAGAAACCACCTAAAAAGTGAAATCAACTTGCAGTGAGGTCCTCTGGGATTTTAGTAGGAACACCAAGTTCTCAGATTAACCAAGTTCCATAGGGCTCTCTCTCCTTCCATCTATACATCATTCTTCCATGCCATTCAATTCCATTTTGAATATATTGGGTTGTTGGAAAAGTCATGACACATTTTTGCAATGAAAAACAGAAAAAATATGTCATGATTTTTCCAACAACCCAATACAAAGATCATTCTAATTTTATTCGCTAGCAGGTTACCTCTCAATACTGCTACATCATTCTGGCATGTCCCAGGGCCTCTTCTGGCCTTTGAATAATTGTTTCCTCATCTTGGCAAAGATAAACTGAAGAATGCAACCCTAGAAGTTATCACTATCCATCTACTCCCCCCAAAATAAACAACAAATAAAATGTACCATCACTCAAACTAGGGAAGTCGTCCTCTCTTTTTTCTCTCACTTCTTCATTGGGAGAAAGAAACACTTGATGATAAGGAGTCATTCTAGGTTTGGGTTCCAATCCAAATCCTTCTGGATAACTGGTAGAAAAGAGACTTTTTACTATGAAATCCAATTTCATTGGGATTATGCCATTGTTCTTTATTACACATACTCATCCTCCAAATTCAGTACATATCAATAGGGAAAAACTGTCTAATCAAGTTCAAACAAACAGCTTATGACAACTTCCACAACTGATATAATAGCATTCTAGAAAATAGGATAAATACCTTCTTTTTGTTCCTATCTTATTAAAACCAATCCATGACCCCCGGAAATCTCTCCTGGGTTCCACAGCATCAGAACTGGTCATTTCTTTTTGAAGCCTCCCAAAGCATTGAACTCTGCCTTTGTTTGTCACTGATCTCAGCCTGCCTGGAATGGGGCCAGGGTCAACTTCCTGGGCCTGTGACCTGTGCAGGGTCCACACTTAGAAGGGCCCCATGCTCAGACCCTTCTGTTACACTCTTGAGATTCATAGCAATTTTTGAACAAGGAACCCTCTCACTTGCATTTTTCTGGGGCGCCCTACATCTGTAGCTAGTTCTAATTAGGGTGCAGTGGTTTATATATTAGGTGCTGCATGAACTGTGTGCTCCAGGGCTCCTGATCATGTCAATATCCCATGCCCTCTTCTCAGGTCTCTCTCAGCCAACCAAGTAGAATATGTACTCAGTACATGTTTGTAGATTGAACCAAAAACGACAAGGAAATGAAAATGAAAAAAGAGAGCTGCCATTTAAGAATATCCACTCTTGAAATTTCTAGAATGAACCCTTTGGATTTGGGAGTCCATTTTGCTAAATAGAGGGATCCAAGGAGGGTGGAACTTCAAGCACACAAATCAATTGACATTCCATTCTTCGTACCTATGCTTTCAGTATGGATAAGGCCTAATTCTTGAAATACAGAAAAAAAAAGGACCTCCCAATTTAATTGATACACTGAAAATGGATTCTTTTATTTCAAACAAATTAAAGGCAAGCACCTCTTCCAGACTAGGAGTGTCAGTGCTTCCCAGAGAGTAACTCTAGTGTTTTAAAATGTTCAATATTCAACTTGACAAGATTTATGGAATTTTTCCCCTCAGTAATGTAACATAATTTGTGCTGTTATAAATACAAGCTAGAAAAGGGACAAGAGCAAAGTATAATATCCCATAGTCCTCTCTTCCTCTACGCTCAACCTGGCTCTTTATTAATGAGATAATATGTGTAGGCAGTGTGGTGCCAAGACACTGACTGGCATTGAATGATATATACCTACTGCCACACACAGAGAGAAAGTGCACAGACACAGAGAAATTTAACACATGTATTTTCAAACTTGGGACTTCAAGCAAAGGATTTAAATGAGATTAATTTTTTTATTTGTATTTCTTACACAAGTATACTTATGGATGTTATTTTATATAATGAATTATGTGTATACTTTTTTTCTGTAAGCAAAATTATTCCTGGCTTGCATAATACAACTTATTATATATTTTTTATTAATTGTATTTACCAAATGTGAATATTTCTGATATCTGCCTGCATCATAAAATCAATATGTATATTTAATGTTGGAGTTTTCTGCCCCCAAAATGAAAACTCTTACAACCTGAGAATTGTAGAAACAGAATAAATTATTATTTCATGATGATTCTAGCTGCTCAGTCAGATGGACAGGTTTGAGGACATTTATTATTAAACTTTGCCCATAATTTGGACAACCAGCCAAACAAAAGGATTATATCATTTGTATTGACCTCAATCAAGTGTCCCTCTGAAGCTTTCTTGTATGCACTGACCACTGGTGGGGCAAGGAACCAAACAAGTGGGCAGCTCTTACCTCCTTGCACTGAGCAGGAACAGGCAATGCATGAGACACAGGAGGAAGCTGGTGTTGGAGTTATAGGTGGCAAAGATAATGTCCCAATGTTCCTGTAGAAAGTCCAGGATGCTGAGAAGGCTGAGACATTCAGAGAGGGATTGCTGGGGCTTGGAGAGGCAATAAAGAATGACTTTATTTAAACTGCTGTATAAAGCACTGATGACAGTGTCCCTTTGAGAAGAGGCATTCTCGATGACCTGTGTCATAAAATAAACACACACATACACAAACATACTTGTGAACACTTTACAATTTTAGATACTGACCCAGCTAACTATAAAAATAATACAATCTCAGTCTTTTTTGTATTTCAAAATTCAAATAGGACAGCTTTCCTCTACTTTTGAGCTTCTATTAAAGTGAATGATTAATAAAGGCAAGTCAAATTGTTGGAATTACCAGAAAATGGTATAAAAAAAGTTTTTAAAGTTTATCACAGTCATATTATGGAAAATCGATAGGAGATCAGAGATTTCTGAAATATAGGTAAGATGGTTAACCTTCGGTGTATAAGAAATGCTATTAATAGTGCCTAATTTTAAAAAACACATATAAATATATATACTAGTTAGCATTTACAGAGTGTTTATTATATTCCAGTTATCATGCTAAGCATTTTTGCATAATTTACACATGACAAACTTAAATGGGGAAGACAGAAGGTCCTGACCTGTAGCCTTACCACTCATTGGTCCATTCATTTGTTTGGATTCATCAAAAAGAATCCATAGAGCAAAACTTACATGCAAAATTGTTCAGTCTATTAGAAAGGTCATTTGTTAGTTATAGATTGTTCTCTTAGAATTTTTATGGGTACTGCAAGTATTTACATTAGTGAAGTTGAGTTTAATTTAATTCTGCTGTAATTTGTGATTCATGTTTTTATCATCATCTTCTCCTACTCCTCAGAAGGGTCTTATCTTTCAAACTGAGGTTAAGAGTTTTAAGAGTCACAGGCCGTGAGCAAGATGGCCACCTTCTTCTTATACTCTCCCATGATGGAAAAGGATGGTAGGTGGGGCAGAATCAATGGTGGGTGGGCTCCCACTCAGGGCACATCAGCCCAGCAAGTACCCACTCTTTGGTATTAGCTCTGAGTATTTGATTTGATCACTGGATGCTGCTATGGGCTGAATGTGTGTGTCCTCTCCCAAACTTCATGTGTTGAAACTAATCCCCAACATGATGGTATTTGGAGGTGGGGTCTTTGAGAGGTGATTAGATCACAAGGATTGAGCCCTCATAATGAGATTCCTGTACAGATAGGAAGAGACAAGGGAGAGCTTTCTTTCTGTGTCTCCATCTCTCCATCATGTGAGAATACAAGAAGACGGCCACCTGCAAACTAGGAAGACAGCCCTCACTAGGCACTAGATCTGCCAGCACCTTGATCTTATACTTCTCAGCCTCTAGAACTGTGGGAAATAAATGCTTTTTGTTAAACCACCTAGTCTATGGTAGTTTATTACAGCAGCCTAAACTAACACGGGAGCTCAGTAGCTCTTTCATTCTCAGCACAACTTCCCAAGAATCTGATTTTAATCTTCTTGGAGGTGACGAGGGATATTTCTCCCCTCTTGGAGTTTTTTTCTTGAAAAAGCCTCCGAATACATTATTTTCTGGCTTTCCTGGAGCTGTGCATCAGCCAGACTAACTATCAACCTAGGAATTTCCTGGGGTCTATGGGTAACTCCACAGACAGAAGGGTGCAGGGGGTGCCAATGTCACTCCCCCTGTGAAGCATGAAGATGTAGGAGAGTGGCCTCTTGTGTTCTGCAGAGAGGGCACCCCAGGAGCTACTGGCGGCAGAGTTCAGCTTAGTAAGAGAAAGTGCTTTCTGGGCCGGCCGAGTGGCGTGATGGTTAAGAACTGGCTTGGGATGCCAGAGGGCCCCGGTTCGGATCCCACATATGAGGGCCAGTGACACTGCCCTCCACAGCTAAGATGCTGAACAACAGCTCTACCTGGACCTGGGGTGCCATGAATCGCCGGCGACGGCATAGGCTGCAGCCCTTGTGGCAGTGGGTTGCCATGGGCTACCGTATGTAGCCAGCAGCCAGCGTGAGCGGCCAGCAGCCGCAGTGAGCGGCCGACCAGAAGCCGGCGACTGATGTGCCTCGCCCGGGAAGAGCACAATGATGGTGCCAACTGGGCCAGTGAAGTGATGTCCTCCACAACTAGACTGAAGACCAAAAGGACAGCAACTTGTCTGTTCCCCTCCCCCCAATTCCCCAGCATTGTTCCCATCCCCCCAATTCCCCAATAAAAATCTTTAAAAAAAAAAAAAAGAGAAAGTGCTTTCTGACAATTGCAGGAGTCCTGCTGGCTGGGACCACCTGGGACCACAGTGAGATCCTTAAGAAGCGAGAGTTCAAAAAAAGAACAAATAACCACCTGATAGAAAATGTTTCCAAAATGAAATGGGAGACAAGGACTAAAAAAGTGTTCAACTCTAGAATTTTGAGACTGCATGATTCTGTGTGTGTGTGTGTATACATGTACAATAAAGAATGTATACACATGTACACACACTTATATTTAATTGTGTATCTATAGGCATGGATTTGCATGTATGGGCATGTTTGTAGAGCTATCTGAAAAGAGAGACAGAGAGAGAGAGCACATGCAAGAACAATAGGACTAGGTAAAAACAGACTCTTGCCTATATTTCAGGAAGGCCCAGATGTGACTGTTGGAAGTAGACACTAAAGAGAAAAATTAAACAGGTCTTTTGGAGATAAAGACCCTTTTTAGCCCTTTCTTTGGTGATGAGGAACAACAATAATTAAGATTTAAACAATAATCACAATAAAAACTAAAAAGAGGTGTGTAGAGTCTAGGTGGGAGCAGAGCTCAGGTGCCAGCTCCAGGGACCGTGGCTCCCGGCCACCGAGACAGATTTCAGGTGGCCTGAGGTGAGAGCCCTGCAGGGCACTCCACAGCCACCAGGTGTTGCCTGGGTCACTGCACTCCTTCCTCCCACTCATGTTGGATCCTGTTTCCAGGAAAGATGGCAGGTCAATCTGGACCAACTGCATAGTCAACAGCATGTCATAGAGATACTTGGTTGGTCAGCAGGAGTTTCCATACCACCATGGCCTGCCTTGGGTTCTTACCACCATGATATGCTCTGTGATGAAGAGAAGGATGTGTCTGGGGTCTGCTGAGAACATCCCACTGTACAGCTTCTCCACCAGCTTCTGGGTAAAGTGGGAGATATTCACATATGAAGGAGCAGCAGCAGCTTCTGTGTTTGGCTGTGACTCTTTACTGCCTAAGGTGGAATGAGGAGACAGACCGAGTTTGAGAAATCGTCAAAATCTGAACAGCCTTCTCACAATAGTCTCCAAGCCCCTTCTGTGAACCAACCACATCTCGCTCACCTCTGTATACCCCATTGTAGCCCTCTGTATAACCCACTGCTCTGAAGATGGGGTCTTACACACAGGTATCCAATGAATACACACTTATTCAAAATAAATTGATCTTGAAACATCTAGTCAGTGATATAAACCAAGTGAGGAGGAAGAAAGTGCGGGGCAGTATTTCTTCCAGTGGCCATTTAGAATGAAGATGGAGAAAATTTTAGGTATAAGGCAAATAGGAAGGCTGTTATGGTGACCCCTGAGACCCTGCTGCTATGGCAGGCTGAGGACAAAGCTGTACTGTGGATTATCTGTCTGTGCTCACCAGCACGATGGGCATTGTGCTTAGATGTGGATGTGATGATCTCAGCTAATTCTGATAACAATTCTCTGAGTTAGCCATGATTGTTGTACTCACTCACAGGCTAAGGCACCTGCCCAGAGTCATACCACCATCCAGTGACAGAGCCACGATCAGAACTGGTACTACCAAGCTCTACTCTGCCACACTTCAGATGCTCCACAAAGGATCAATAGTCAGGGTTTCTGTGTTGTGGGGCAAAGAGGAGTCCAGAAAATGAGCTGTGTTACTAAGGAATCTGTGGCTAGAAAACACAGAAAGGACTTTGCCTAATCTTGTTTGGAAGGTGCAGCTGTCCTGGAAATAAGTCTTCTCAATGAAACTTCAATCTGAATTTCTCAGGGGTAATGGCAGCTTCTCCATCCAGGTTCACTCATTTAACAAAAACATGTTGTGCCAGCCATAGGTGCAAATAGTAAGATGCTGAGCAGAAGAATGTTGAATTCCAGGTGACATCTTGACTTCCCTTGTGGGAAGAGGACACAATTCTACTGAAGGCAGACAACTGGTTTTGGCAGAAGGACTTTCTGTCTCCAAGTGGCCCAACGATGGCAAAGGTGTCATGAAAAGAAGCAAGCATGTCTTCCCTGGAGCCTCCAGGCAGGGTCACTGAGTTGCAGATTCGTGGAGGGACTGACGCATAGGTGGTACCTAGAGTGCCCTGCAGCTCTAGGGCCCAGGCTTCCTCTACAAGATGGGCATCAGTGGCTGGTGGACACACTGGCTTTCCAGCTTAGCTGTCACCAACTTTGTGTCATAAATAGTGAGGAGCAAGTCACCTCCACTCACCTGTGAGCACCGACATGTTGCCTCCACTCATCACATGAAATATTTCCATGGTGGAAAGCAGGACCGCAGACTGGAAGTCTCGCTTCTGTTGGCTGGTGGCATTGTCTGGAGAAGCCTGGAAGCACACCCAGGAGAGTAAGACAGCAGCCACATGACCATCATGTCCACTCAGTGCCTCCCGGGGTCCCTTGCCTGGCCTGTATGCCACTACCACCACTGCTAGCAGTGTGAGCTGCCAACAGCTCACAGCTGCTCCTCCAAGGCACTGCCCTCTGCTGACCAAGTTGCCTCATCTAGGAGGTGATGCCCATTTCCCAGGGAGAAAAGGCAGGTGGGGGTGGCCCACAGATAATAACCACCTGGCAAGTGTCTCCATTGAAAGTACAGTCCCCAATAAATCACTTCTATACAATCTCAGGCTCTGCTTCTAGGGACCTGGCTAAAACGTGCCCTCATTCATCTATTCACTTACTGCTGGTATGTTCCCTGTTCTGCCAGTGCCTGTAGTTGGAGGACAAGGACTTCCTCCCACAACATCACTGAAGTCCCAGAAGATGCTCTGGACCACCAGACTGCTGGCATCTACAGGCCTAGGTGAGCTCTTGTAAGAGATCAGCCCTCAGGTCTCCCTTCACGTACCCCACCCTCATGGTACCCGTGCTCTCCCAGGCCCACTCCCACAGCATATGGCCCAACAGCACCCTTTCACCCACCTCCAGGAAGACTTCCAGCAGCAGCCACTGCTTGGGGCTGGAAGCTGCAAGCAAGAGCTCCCTCAAGAGTAGCTGCATGAACTTCCTGAGCTGTCTCCTTGTGGGATGTGACTGTGCAGGAGCCTGTAGTCCCTCCATAATGCTGTAATCTCCAGCGTTGGGCCCGGGACTGCTGGCGTTCTGGGCAGACTCAATGGTAACCCCCTCAAAGACAAGAGAACCCCAGCATGAGTGCCTGCCCTGCCCCAAAATGATTTCACATCTATCTCTGAGGTATGCATGGGTGGGAATCTGATCAAACCCATTAACAGGTAAGGAAATGGAGGGTACACAGGGGTAGGCAACTTGCCCAGAGACCCATCATTCATAAGGAGGGCTGCTGTGGTCCCCACAGCCGAGATGCGTGGCAGTCGTAGAAAGAAGCTAAGCACGGAATGTTCAGACGTAAAGCCCAGAATGTTCTGGGCAAGGAGCTTCCCTTCGGAGTCACAGCTCTCATCAGTGAAATGGTAACAGTACAAAAGACACCACAAAGACATGTGAGGACACAATGAAAGGACAGTGTGTGCCACCGTGGCTGGTCATGGTATCTGGTCAAGAAAGCTGCGTTCCATGCCTGGAGAAGCCCTCACCTTTACTGTCTGCCAGGCTCTGCTGATGTTAACAGGTAGGACCCTCGGGTGCAAAGAGGAGAAGGACTTCAGCAAGTCCTGGCATCCAAGCCCCTAAAGCACCTTGGCCTTCACATGCTCATTTTTATATTTATAAAAATATTGGCAGGTGAATGAGACTGGCATCATTAACCCAGCTACATCCAGAAGGACACAGAGGCCGAATGACACACCCAAGGACATGCGGCCAGGGACTCCTGATGCCTGGCTGAACTTTTACGCACATTCACCTGTTGGAACCTCCCTTTGCTCATTCATAAAATTAATGCAGCCATTCTTAATTAAGCCATAAAATGAATTTAATGGCACCTAGGGAAGTGGTGACTGCATTAATTAGCTCCACGCGGCCTTGACTGGAAAGATGCCATATAAATTCATAGCAAATCGAAGGCTTTTGGCCAGCAGCCTTGTTCATGAAGAGGGTCTGTCATGTTTTCTGTGCAACAAAGGTTTTTTGGAGCTGACTTAGAGCTAGGACAAGGCAAGGAAGCGCTGTGGAACTAGAGTCAGGCACCCCAAGACAGGGCATGGCTCCTCTGCAGTTAGCTGGGGAGGTAACTTTGGGCACGACCCTCCCCCAGGCAGACACATTGGGTGTGGGGCGGAAGAGCCCTGGGTCAGAGTATGTTCTGCCTGCTCGTGGGCAGCCAGCTGGAACCCCAGCTCAGCAAATGGTGAGCCTGACCTGCTGTGCAGGGGCTGAGGTGGGGATCTGGGCTAAGAACGTCCGGACTTCAGTGCCCTGGATTCCTCCAGAGGGCCCTCTGGAAGAGGTGGTAAGGGACAGCCTGTGGGATTGTCCTTCCTCGCTGCCTGGCCTCTGTGCTCAGGGCCCTACCTTTACCCCCTCCAGTGCATCTTTCTTCTTTATTCTTACTTTTCCACTATGTTACTTTACTTGATATTAACTCATCAAAACATTTTATCTTTTTTGCAAATGTTCTAGTCTTTATATTTAGTCTTTTCATTAAAACAAATTACTCAAATTATATTTGGCCATTTAATTTTATTTTAAACTGATTGTGATAGAAAGGAAGTGGGCTTTGGGGTGAGCAGGTGGGGGATAGAGAAGGGGCTATTGAAAGAGATAGATGAAGTTTAAATCTTGGCTCTGTCACTTATTAATCACATAACCTGTGGTATATTTCACTCTCTCAACCATTTGGTGAGATAGGTCTTTGACCCCCACTAAACCAGAGGACACTCTTCACCACTCTGAGCATCCCTTTGCCCCAACTAACACACACCACCTGTATAGAGTACCCATTAGAGGTCTGTGAAGCACCAGGCTCAGGACTGTGGTAGGTGTTTAGTCCATGGAAGCTGTCACCATGAATACACTTCTAGAAAAAGATTAGTTAAAAGAGCAGTTCATTCATTCATTTGGTCATTTACCAAATAATTACAAAACAAACACTAATTGCCTGCACTGTGCTTCACCTGGCTTCTAAACCTTCTCCTTACCATTGTCTGCCTTTTAGATTGTTCCTTTAGCTGCTGTTATCAATTTGCAGACAGTTCTCACAAGCTCACACTCCCTGTCTGGGTATAAGCTTCCTACACCAAGGAGGGGGTGATGAACTAGTTTCTTTCCTTCACACTGGTCCCCACCTGCTCCTCTCAGCTCCCAGACTTTCTGAGCCCACTGAGCCCCATGGACCTGCTAGGATTGGTTCTCGGTCTCCAACTCAATCACATACCCCCTTCTCTACACCCCACCCCCTACTCACACCTAGTCCTCAAGACTCAGCCGGACCCTCTGCTGTCCCAGCCATCCTCTGACTGCAAGGGGTCCCAAGTCATGGCCTACAAACAGGATGAGGGTCCTGAGAACAAGAGGCAGAGAAGGACATGCTTCCAGTCCCCTCTCCCCCACCGGACTGGTGCACTGCCACAGGCTTCCTGGGGTGGAATTTGTTATTTCACATCATCAGTTGGAGGGTATTCATATAGAATTGGACTTGATCTACCATCAAATTTCTCATTACTGAGATTTCTAACAACTCCAAAAAATTATTGAATCTCAGAGTTGAAAATGACCTCAAGCTACATCTCAGCAGAGAAAGGAAAAATTACCCAAGTTGTTTACTTACTGTTTCAGCTAAGTTACCTTCAAATGTGTTTTACTTTGGGAGGTGGGGAGGAATTTTGCCCTTTGCCCTCGAAGGACTACGACACTCACCCCTGCTCTCATTGGGGTAGGATGATGGCATGTCCTACCTTGTGGATTCCCAGGGGGAAGGTAATGGTGGCCAAGGTCTGGAGGAACTCTGGGGCCCGCCAGGCTGGGTCCTGGGGGTAGGTGCTGTGCACAAGGCCAAGGAAGTGCAGCACGCTGTCCGGGAAGGTCTGTTCCCAGGCGCCGTCTCCACTACCTGTCAGGGGCTGAGCACACATGTCATGAGAGGTGTGCAGTGCATAGAGCCAGAGGATTTGAAATCAAGACAGAAAACTTCCTTTCAGAGGCTCTCAATCAGACACCTCTTTGCAAGACCCCTAAGACTGTGGGTTGCCACGGGATATTGGTCATCAATTGGGGAAGGATTCCACAGATGCAGGCATTGTTCCCAGGGCTTCACATGTACTCCTCACCTCACAACAACCCTCTGTGATAGGTCCTCTCTTTACCCCTATTTCACAGATGGGAAGACAGAAGCACAAAGAGGTTAAGTAACTTACCAAAGGTCACCCAGTGGGTAAGGAGCAGAGCCATGAGTTGACCCCGGGCTGTAAAGTCGGCCTGTCTTCCCCATATTGCCTCTATGTAATTAGACATGACATTGTGCTCAAGGAACTTGCCAATCAGCATGGACCCCAGCCTTCCCCAGCCCAGTGCTTATGCTCCCGGCTCTAGACCCTGTCCTGGCTGATATCTGGACAAACCCTGTACAGGGCTGGCAGGAACTGATGAGCCTCTTCCCCACCATCCAGGGGTCTGGAATAGATCGTGTTGTACTGAGCTGATACCCAGCACCCTGAGGGGACCTGGGCACCTGTCTGCTCCCATACCACAACCTGGCCTCAGCCACACGGCAGAGTCTCCATCCTAGCTGCACACTCGTGTCCTGCTCCTGCTCAGCTTTCTTGACCAGCTCTGTCAAGTCACTCTAGAGACTGACTCCGGCCCCAATATGTCCATCTACTGCCTGAGGTCCTGCTCTATCCTGAATGGACGGCCTGGAACTTGAAAATTCACCAACCCTGCATAGCCATGCTAACGAGACTGAGTGACAGCCTACTCCTGCGGATGTCATAGGTGGACGTTGTGTCTTCTTTTGGCCCATCCGTGGCTTCCTCATTACTCCCACCAGCCTGTCTCACATCCTGGTCCCATGTGCATGAGTCAGGATGCCCTGTTTACCAAGTAGATATCAAGTGCTGGGAAGTGAGCCTCATACTAGAATACTCAAGCCTAATTGTCAAAAAGTGTGTGGGACAATTAGAGAGCGGTTTAAAATCTGATTCACAGGATCCTGTGAGGGTTTGGTGTGGGCTGAGCAGACAAGCAGAGAGAAACCACTTCTGAAGTCCCCTGCATCTGGCTTCCCCATCAGATTCATACAGGATGATATCAGATTTCCAGGGAAGTATCAGAGGTTGGAATTCAGAGACTGTTTTCTGGAGTTAGTCGGCCTAGTTCGAATCCTGCCTCTCTCTCTAATTTAACGGCCTAACTTTGGACTGTTCCTTAACCTCACTACATTCTGGTCCCAACTCTATAAAATAAGGATTGTAATGGACCTATTTCATAAGGTTGTTGTGAGGATTGAATGAGACATTTGAGTGCTTCAGACTTATTTTTTCAGTGACTAGCACAGGGTAAATACAGAAGAAGCTGGAAGATAAGATCAGATAGAGGACTTGGACTTTGGAAGAGAAATTTGGATTTTATGCACTGAGCAAGCAGGACGCCCTGAAGGTTGTTAGGCCTGGCAGTGACCTGAGATGCAACGCTAATGCTGGACACACGCCCCTGCCATGCCCTTGCTCCATGACCTTGCCTGAATGTGCTAACCTCCATAGCGACAGTTTCTACATTTGCGCAATGGAGATAATGCTGTCTGTTTCAAAGGATTTTTGCACACAGCGAGATGGCTAACATCTAAAAGACCAACAATGCAATACATTGACAAAGGCGTGAAACAACTAGAACCTTCCCGGAATAAAAACTGGTGAAAGTGTAAACTGGCACTTCACTTCAGAGAACTATTTGAGGATATCTACTAGCACAAGTCATGTGTACCACTTATGATACATACTTTCACACCCAGGCATATTTCCAACTTGTATACCCACCCAAAGATATGTACATAGCAGCTTTATTCATAATATATCCAAGTGGAGACAACTAAGAATAGATAAATAAATTGAGGTCAATTATCACAATAAAATACTATTCAACAATAAAAAAGAATGAATTACTGACATATACAACATCATGAGTGAATCCCACAAACATAATGATGAGTGCAAGAAGACAAATGCAAAAGAGTACACACTGTATGATTTCATTTATATCAAGTTCAAGAACAGGCAGTCTAAATCTAGGTTACCAGTGTTCAAGGGAATAATGTCAAAGAAAGTAAAGTTCAAAGCTAATAATAACATAAGATAAAATAACTATCTGAAAAAGATATGTTAGAGTTATTCGCTACAATTGAATTTCTACTTTTTTTCTCTTATCTTTCCAGTTTCTGCCATTTATATTTTGATGCTTGTCTACTGTATTTAGTAAATGATGCTTTCATGACAGATATCTTCATTGAACTAAAACAATATTTGAGTGAATTTGCTTTTGTTATATGTTTGTTAGGTCCCAGAAGGTTGGGTCTTGTTCACTGATCAATCCAAGAGTCACATCTGTAATGCACCACTTAACCATTTTATGCATGATATTATAATGCAAATGCTTGGTCTTATTTTTTACTTCTTTCAGCATACTATGTATTTTCTTTATTTTAAATACTTTCATTATTCCTTTTGTTTGCTTTTTAAAAATAGTATTGGGCTGGACGAGTGGTGCGATGGTTAAAGAATTGGCTTGGGATGCCAGAGGGCCCCGGTTCGGATTCCACATATGAGGGCCAGTGACACTGCCCTCCACAGCTAAGATGCTGAACAACAGCTCAACCTGGAGCTGGGCTGCCGTGAGTCGCCGGCAACAGTGTAGGCTGCAGCTTCTGTGGCAGTGGGTTGCCATGGGCTACCATATGTAGCCAGCAGCCAGCGTGAGCGGCCAGCAGCCACAGTGAGCAGCCGTCCAGAAGCCGGCGACTGATCTGCCTCACCCGGGAAGAGCGCAATGATGGTGCCAACTTGGGCCAGTGAAGCAGCGTCCTCCACAACTAGATTGAGGAACAAAACGACAGCAGCTTGTCTGTTCCCATCCCCCCAATTCCCCAATAAAAAATCTTAAAAAATAATAATATTAATCGGTTAGAAAGGTAACAGACTCCTTATGCTGCAAACAGAAAATATACATTTTTTTTCAGGCACCCCAAAATTAATTGCACATTAGGCCTACAATGGAACCATGAATAAGTTCTCCAAAGATGGAAAGTATACAGATCACATGCTCTGACTAGGACAAAATAAAACTGGAAATGGGTAGCAACATAAAAAAAAAAAAGTTCAGCCACATGGACGTTGATGAGTCCAGAAGTTCTTGAAAACTGCAATCACAAAAACTCTAGAAAACAATGAAAAATGAAGATGCCAAACATCAAAATCTTAGAACTATCCAGAAAAAAGTCAAGAGAATAATACTATATCTAAAGTTGGTTCTTTAAATAAATCCACAAGTACTCAGCTTTTTAAGTAATGGGGGGGGGCAAAGAGAGAGTATAAATTTATGAAGAATAAGAAAGGCAAAATAATAACACAAAAAATTAAATGAATTAAAAAAACCATTTGAGAAAATTGAATAAATGAGATTTTTAAAAAATATGAATTACCTAAACTATATCAAGGAGACATTTAAAACCTGAAACAAGGCAATAGTGGAACAAATTCAGGACCAAGAAGTTTCATGGGAAAAATTTAAATAATATAAGAACTATGGATCTAACAGTTTCTGTTTTTTTATTATTAGTTTCAGGGGTACAAAACAACATAGTGATTAGATATTTACATCCCTCACAAAGTGACAACCCCAAGGCTAGTACCCATATGACACTGTACATAGCTATTACAATACCACTGACTATATTCCCTATGCTGTGCTTTACATCCAGTAAAGGATTGGGGTAGGGGGGTTGTCACTTCAAGGGGTAAAACGTATAACTATTTCCCTGTGTTGTACAGCTGAAACTAATTCTAAAAAATGTGTATTTCATAATAAAAAATAATTTAACAAAAAAAACACATGAGTGTTTTTAGTTGCATTGTCGTGGCTGCCTCAATGTCCTGAATCGATTCAAAACATTTTTCTTTCTTGGTTATTTTGACTTTGGGGAAGAGCCAGAAGTTGCATGGTGCCAGATCAAGTGAATATGGTAGATGAGGACACACTGTAATATTTTTATTTGACAGAAGTTGCCATACCATAAGTGATGTGTGACATGGAACATTGTCATGATGGAGGATGAAGTAAAGATATGCAAGAAAGAAGACTTCCAGGACTACTTCAGAAAGTAGCAAGAACAATGGGATAAGTGTGTTCAAAGCGAGGAGAAGTATTTTGAGGGGGATTAATCACAATGTGTCTTTTACTGTAATAACGTTTTTTATTTAAACATTCACCATATTTTTCGATCACACCTTATATAGTATCATGTCATCTGCATATACCGACAGTTTTACTTCTTCCTTTCCAATTTGGATTCCTTTTCTTTCTTTTTCTTGTCTGATTGCTGTGGCTAGAACTTCCAGAACTATGTTGAATAAAATTGGTAAAATGGACATCCTTGTCCTGATCTTAAGGAGAATGCTTTTAGCTTTTTCCCATTGAGTATGATAATAGCTGTGGGTTTGTCATATATGGCCTTTATTATGTTGAGATATGTTCTCTCTATGCCCACTTTGCTGGGAGCTTTTATTATAAATAGATGCTGGATTTTGTCAAATCCTTTTTCTGCATCTATTGATATGACCATATGATTTTTATTTTTCATTTTGTTTATGCAGTGTATCACATTAATTGATTTGCAAGTATTGCACCAAACTTACATACCAAGAATAAATCACACTTGATTGTGGTATATGATCTTTTTGCTGAATTTGGTTTGCTAATATTTTGTTAAGGATTTTTGCATCGATGTTTATCAAGGATATCAGCCTATAGTTTTATTTTTTTTTGTAATGTCTTTGTCCAGTTTTGGAATTGTATTAATTGTGGCCTCATAAAATGAGCTTGAGAGCCTTTCCTCCTCTTGAATGTTTTGGAATAATTTTAGAAGGATAGTTGGTAATTCTTTTTTGAATGTTTGGTAAAATTCACCTGTGAAGCTATCCAATCCAGAACTTTTTGTTGGAAGTTTGGCTGATTATTGATTCAATTTCATTAGTAGTAATTGGTCAGTTCAGATTTTGTTTCTTATTGATTCAGCCTTGAAAAATTACATGTTTCTGGAAATGTGTCCATTTCTTCCAGATTATCCAGTTTGTTGGAATATCATTGCTCATCATATTTTCTTAAAACTTTTTGGATTTTTGTGGTGTCAGTTGTCACTTCTCCTATTTCTGATTTTGTTTATTTGGGTCCTCTCTCTCTTTGTTTTCATGAGTCTGGATAAGGTTTGTTGATTTTATTTATCTTAAAAAAAAACAGCTCTTGTTTTCATTGATCTTTGTATTGACATTTTAGCCTATATTTCATTTATTTCCACTCTGATCTTTAATATTTCCTTCCTTGTACTCACTTTGGACTTTGTTTGCTGTTCTTTTTCCAGTTCCCTAAGGTATAAAGTTAGACTGTTTATTTGAGATTTTTCTTGTTTCTTTAGGTACGACTGCATTGCTATGAATTTTCCTCTTAGGACTGCTTTCACTGTGTCCTATAGATTTGGGGTCATTATGTTTTCATTTTCATTTGTCCAAGGTATCTTTTCATTTCTTCCTTGACCTCATTGTTGACACATTCATTATTTAGTAGCATGTTATTTAGTATCCATGTGTTTGTGTGTTTTTCAATTTTTTCTTGTAATTGATTTCTAGTTTCATACCATTGTGGTCAGAGAAGATGCTTGATATGATTTAAATCTTCTTAAATTTATTGAGACTTGTTTTGTGGCCTAACATGTAGTCTATCTTGGAAAATGTTCTGAGTCATTTAAGGCCACTGTTTCCTTGTTGATTTTTTGTCTGGAATATCTGTCCATTGCTGTCAGTGGGGTGTTAAAGTCCCCTACTATGACTCTGTCACTGTTGATCTCTGCTGTTATGTTGGTCAATATTTGTTTTATATATTTAGGTGCTCCTATTGGACACATAGATGTTTACTAGGGTCGGATTGTTCCCTTTATCATTATGTATGTCCTTCTTTGTCCCTTATTATAGTCTTCATTGTAAAATCTATTTTGTCTGATATAAATATTGCTACTTAGCTTTTTTCTCATTTCCATTTGCATGAAATATCTTTTTCCATCACTCTACTTTCAGTCTATATGTGTCTTTCGATCTGAAGTGGGTCTCTTATAGACAGCATATGCATGGGTCTTGTTTTCTACCCATTCAGCTACCCTATATCTTTTGATTGGAACATTTAATCCATTTACACTTAAAGTGTTCATTGATAGGTACATAGTTATTTCCATTTTAATATTCATATTTTTTATCTTCTTTTTTGTTTGTTTTTTCCCTTTTTCTTCTTAAAGAAGTCCTTTTTTTAAAAGAATTTATTGGGGAATTGGGGAATTCCGGGAGGGGAACAGTGTTGGGGAGTTGGGGAGGGGGAAGAGCCAAGTTGTTGTCCTTCAATCTTAGTTGTGGAGGGTGCAGCAAGCTCAGCTCCAAGTTTAGTTGCGCCGCTCAGCTCAAGATGCTGTGTTCAATTAGTTGTGGGTAGGCGTAGCCACCATCCCATGCAGGAGTCGAACCAGCAGCCTCGTTGTTAAGAGCACACACTCTATCCCCTGAGCCACCTGGGTGGCAGCTCAGCTCAAGGTGCCAAGTTCAGTCTTTAGTTGCAGGCGGACGTAGCCCACCATCTCGAACAGGGGACCTTGTTGTTAGTTGCATATGCTCTCACCGGCTGAGCCTTCCTGCCACCTGTTGGCAGCTCAGCTCAGGCGCAGGTCACTGGTCCATGTGGGAATCGAACTGGCGACCTTGTTGTTCAGAGCTCGCACTCTTGAGCAAGCTCTTAACCAACTGAACCACACAGCCAGCCCCTAAAGAAGTTATTTTAACATTTCTTGTAATACTTGCTTAGTGGTAATGAATTCCTTTTGCTTTTTCTTGTCTGGGAAGCTTTTTATCTTTCCTTAAATTTTAAATGACAGCCTTGGTGGGTAGAATAGTCTTGGTTGTAGGCACTTGTTTTTCATCACTTTGAATATTTCCTGCCAATCCCTACTGGCCTGCAAAGTTTCTGTTGAGAAATCAGCTGAGAGTCTGTGGAAGCTCCCTTGTAAATAACTACCTTGTGTTTCTCTTGCTCCTTTTTAGGATTCTCTTTGTTTTTAACCTTTGTCATTTTAATTATAATGTGTCTTGGTGTGGGCCTGTTTGGGTTCATCTTGTTTGGGACTCTGTGCTTCCTGGGCTTATATGTCTTCCTTTACCAGGTGAGGGAAGTTTTCAGTCATTATTTCTTCAAATAGGTTCTCAATCACTTGCTCCCTCTATTCTCCTTTTGGTACTCCTTTGACATAGCAAAGATGGTGCCATCCTGTAGGCTACATGTGAGGCAGGCTCCACACAGGGACATAGCACCTGTCCCTCCAGCCCTCACCCCACAGCCACACAGCTCAGTCTTTCCCCATATGCCTCTGGTGCCTCTCAAATTGCCACCCCTCTACTGCAGCCCTGGAAAGTGCTTGCAAGTGAATGAATCTATTTATGGGCCTTCTAAGAGGATGTCTGGGTTTCCAGCAACCTTCTGTCTCACTGGGAGGGACAGACAGGGCCCTCACCGATTTTAACTGCCAGATGTTGTGGGGACTCCACTTCGTGGCCCAGCATCACTGGTCTGAGGAGACCAGTGGGGGGCTGGGACCCCTCCCTCTTCAGAGGGGGTCTCTGACACTGAGGTGTTCCTCCCAGTGTTCAACCACCACCTGTGTGTTTGGGGTCAGTCTGCCTTGCATCTCCACCCCTCCCACTAGTCTCAACGTGGCCCCTTCTTCATATCTTTAGTTATAGGGGTTCTGCTCAGCTAGTCTTCAGGTGATTCTTGAGATTGATTGTTGTTTAATTTATTGTAATTCTGATGTGATCCTGGGAGGCAGCAGGCACAGCATTTACCTAATCTGCCATACTGTACCCTCTCCAGGATCTAACATCTTCTTAAAATATAAAGAAAGGAGAACAGTCTTTTTAAATAAAGTTAGTATAATACTGATATCAAACCTCACAAAGATATAACAAAAGAGAAAGCTGCAGCAAAATATCATTTGTAAATATGCATGCAAAATCTTGAATAAAATATTTATAAACAGAATAAGGAAGTACACTAAAAGAACAAGAATAAAGTGACTAAGTGAGGTCTTTGCAGGAATGCAAGGAAATCTAATGATGTAATTTATCATGAGTAACTGGTTAAAAAAAGCATATGATCATCTAATTATATGCTAAAATAGTATTTAATAAAAATTAAACACATTCCTGTTTTGAAAAAGAGCAAAAAGTATGATCTGTACTTTCCTAGCATAACCATACACAGAAAAAGCTGGCAAAAGATACAAACAGGCAATTCACAGTAAAATAAATAGATGTTTAATAAGCATATTAAAAATGATATCAACCTCAGTAATAATAAATGCAGAAGAACTCAACTATGAAACCTCCACCAGTGGGAATGGAGTCAATGGAATTGTAATAGATAAGCATGATATCGGGGATGGGAGGGCAGTAGATGGGAGAGGGGGGTTGTTACTTTGTGAGGGGTGAAAAGGATAACTATTGCATTGTTCTGTATACCTGAAACTAACAATAATATAAAAAAAAATTTTTTATAAAGAAACCCCCACCAGTTTGGCTGTGTTGTTGAGGCTGTGAGGACTGACTGACACTTCTATACAGGATGATGAGGTGTATATTAAGTGGAGGAATGTATGTGTGTAATGTCTAATTCAACCTTTGTGAGAAGTTCATCCAAAAGAAAATACATGAAGTACGCTTTGCTCTACTATCCCACATTCCAGAAATCACACTAAGGAAGGCATCAAACTAGAGAGAAAAGATGCCTGCTCAAGAAAGTTCAATACAGACATTTGATAACAATAATCACACCGAGAAACAATGTAAAATTCCATCTACAAACACAGATGATTCCCATATACTCGTATGTTTATTAGCATGGAACTATGTTCACAATATTTTGAGGAAAAAAGACAAAAGAAATTTATGTGGTCTAGCCCTCTGTAAGGAAATGGTATAATCTCAGAGAGGTGTCTGAAAGAATATTCCACTAAAGTTTACAGAGGTTATCTCTGAATGAGTGTATTTCAGGTGATTTTTACTTTCTTGTTTTCTTTTTTATTTAAATTTTAAATGCATCATTTTATAAAAGCAATAATGTCTCTACACACAACCAAGCCTCCAGTTGCCCTTCAAGTCTATAGACTGAAGCCTGAAGTTTTCAGCCTCTCATGCAAGTTCTTGTTAATCTGGCTCACAATTGCTCCTGCTCACATGCTATATGGCCTTCGCCCACTCACACTTGCCTCCATATTCTAAAATAACCCCTCCACTCACCTCTGGTAGACCTGAAAGGCCTGAATTAAAGGCTCTCCATGAAGCCTCTCCATGTCATGTCTACAGTGGGTAGACATCTGTCTTCTCTAAGACAACTTTCTAATTCACAGGTCACTGACATGTGAGGCCCACACGTCCTGGCAGAGGGGAGCACCTTGAGGGGAGAGGCCCCTTTTCCCTCTCCGCGGCATCCCTAAAGCTCCTGACTTAAAGTAGTTGCTCAGATATGTTCCCTTTGATCGAACACACGAATCTCCCAGTAAAGCAAGTCAAATGTTTAAACAAATGGAAAACAAAAGTCTTCTGGCAAGAGTAGGTAAACCTCATTGGAAACATTTAGGCTGATTTTCCCATTGTGCATCTAAGTTATCACCAGGAGCCCTCCCCAACTCTTCTATCAAGCGTTCTGAATAACACTTGCTAATTACTGCCATTACTTGGAAACTGCTGGGAAAAGTCAAGGTGACCCTTCCAAACATCTTCCCATCTGATCCTTGTCACGACATGTCAGGAATGGGTCTTACCTGGCTCATGGTGGCTTTCAGCATTTCCAGAAGCAGCAAGGCACCCTCAGTGCACAGGCCAGCCCGGAGGACTTCATCTGTGTTGTGCTTCTGCAGGAGCCACTGAAGCATGGCATCCAGGCTGTCCTGAAAGAGGAGGGTAGGGCTGCAGAGACCTGCGGCTATGAACCAAAACGACTGGCTTTCCAGCCAGTACATTGTGTTTCCCAGGCGGCCCAGTGCAGAAGGTAAAACAGCACAGCAACACCTAGGTGGCTGCCCCATCTGGGGAATTTCAGCCCACTCATTGCATATGGGAAATGCACAACTCCCAGAAGGTGCCGAAGACCCCACTAGCAACTTGCATCGAGTTTAGTTCTTTTGGTCTGACATCATAAATAATGTCCCAGTCAACTTTAATGAATCTTTGTAAATGAGATTATAGAACACATGATGAATTCACTTCAGGGAAAGTGCAGACTATAGTGGAAAGAGCACTGGTTGCCAAACAGGATGATCTGACTTTGTGTCTTTAAAAGCTGGGCTTAAGCAAGCTATTCAGCCTCTCGGCAGTTCAGTTTCTGTCTCTGTGAAATGGAAATGACATTATCTACCCCGTGGGATTGTCATAAATATCAAGTGAAATAAGTTTCCTGACATTCAGCAGACCTTTGTTTCCTGGATACATTCTTGGAGAAATAAAAATACAGGGTTTTGATGAACTTAGTAAGTATATTCAGAACTTTACTTTGAAGTGGGGTCTGTAACACTATTAGCTTATACCAAGATTATATCTGTCAAATACCAGGATGTGTAAGAGCTGTAATTTGTAGACTTCTATTTACAAAGCCATGCCCCAGTCCATTTCAATTCACTATGATGTGACTCAGTTAAGACAAAGAAACAATTTCTGAGTCTGCTGTTTGTCGGGTGTCCCAGAAGGTGAATAAAAGGTGGGTCTGTTCTTAAGGTACTCAGTACCTAAGGAAAGAGGGAAACATGTAAATGTGCCTGTGTCACTATAAGATGGAGGTATGCTGAGGCACAAAGGAGGGAATGATGCCCTCTGTCCAGGGGGCCTAAGCAGGAGGTGGCATCTTAGGCAGATCACAGTGGGAGAAAGAGCTCATTAAAGGCACAGAGTGGGCAAGCACAAAGCAGATGGTCCTGTTGTGAAGGTGACTTGGGAAGGGCAGGCAAGTCAGGAAGCTGTCTGAAGAGACTGGTCAGACATTCAGTCACAAAGGGCCTGGATGCTTGCTGGCTACGGAGCCTGAACTGGATCCCATAGGAACAGGAGCCAGTGAGGACTTGGAGTTGGTGCAAATGAGTATGTGAGTGTGCATATACAGTGAGTATAGACTCCTCTTTGGAGAAATTTGGCCAAGGAAGGACAGGAGAATGATAAACAGGACAGCAATTAGTCAAGAGTGTGAGTCAAGAGGGCAGCTTCTGGTTTTAGGCAGGACATAGTTTATCATACTTATTTGGGTCTATGAAGAAACAGCCGGTACAAAAAGAGATGCTGAAAATACAGAAGAAAGAAAAAATACAATGGGGTAGGTCACTCAGAAAAAGAATGGAAGGAGTCCAGATTATCCTTGCAAAGCTGCCTTTGGCCAGTAACAATGGAGGGAAGGTGATGAAGGGGGTCACAGCATAAACAGACAGAGGAGGGCAGGGTACTGAGTCACTGCCCGCTTCTGGGCAGCCTCCACTCTCACTATGAGGTAAGTCATTTAAGCAGAGGGCGGCTGTGGGGCAGAAGACTCAACACATATAAGATTTATGTTAGGATGTAGGGGAAGAGCAGGGACGTTACTAAGGTAAAGGAACATGTGTTATTTTTCTGAAGGTATAAACTGAGGCTCTAAATCTGTGGTGGCAGCAACTCATCTTCCGATGCCACCCCCATCACCATGGGTTTTTCTAGCTGTACCCAAAAGGAGAAAAATTCTAAAATGGGAATGATAACAATGGAGACCTTTTGAGGAGGATGTTGGAAGGCAGAGGCAGAGGAAGTCAAGGGTATTTGAAGAGCCAGCCAAGGAGTGTGGACTGCTAGGGAAGGAAGGTGGCCAGTACAATAGAACCTGGAGGAGGTGGAGCGAGAAAGGGTGGAGAGTCTTAGGAAACTGCCTTGGTCACGTGGAATCAGAAAACCGAGTGTGTCACTCCATCCCACGGGTGCCCCAAGAACCTACTTTGGGCCCATCCATCAGCTCTGTAAGTGGTGTCTGTAGGAAGAAGGTGGACACGATGAGGTAGACTTCCGGAATGTGAACACGGTGGACCAGAAAGTTGTTCAGGACTCTGAACCCAGGAAGCAGGCAGGTGCTCTGGTCAGGTGTGGGAAGATGGCTCTTCAGGTTATCTATAAATCAGGTGGAAGGGGCACAAAATCTGACTGAAAACAACTGCTATTGCTTATGGTCAAGGTGGCGATTGGGCACATGAGGGCATTCCTTGCCACCTAGCCATCTCATAGAAATGCCAGAGAGAAATACCGTATTTTGCCGTGTATAATACACTGCCTATGTATAACGCGCACCCACGTTTTTGGCCCAAACTTTCAGGGGGAAAAAAAATCTTGCATTTTAATTTTTTAATTCAAATTTTTACTTGTTTACATTTAGGTACTCATTTTTTGTATCATAAAGGAATTTTAGCATTTATTTTTTAACATATTATGGTACAAGAAATTTTATGTAACAAATAATTACAAAACACAAGAACAAATACAACACACACAAAAATTTATGTACCAGTATAAATCTATGATATTTATGCATCATAGAAGGCCAAGAACTTTTCATCGTTGCCAGTTCATTGTAAGTTCAACATAACTGAGGATCGTGTTCCAGGGTATTATTTTGTATATGGATATCATTATTGATTTCTAGAGTTATACTTTTAACTCATAAGCATAAATAAAAGAATTAAAAACATTTATATAGATATGGAATTAGTACTACCCATGTATGCACATCCTTATTTTTCCTTCATGAATTTAGGCAAAAAAAGTGTGCATTATAGATGGCAAAATATGGTATATGTTATACACACATGGATACAAGAAAGTGCTCAACAAGAATTCCTTTCCCTATTCCTGTCATGCTCATTCATTTAAAAAAAAAATATTTAGTGACTAACACATTAGATTCAACAAGGCAACTTTGTGTTAGGCAAAAAAGACATAAAGTTCCAACAAAATATACAGAACCCAAGGCGCCTCACCAAGAACTAACAAGGTCAGAAGAGGAACAGACAATAAACAATTAAATATCAAATAAATACATACTTGTGATAAGCATTAGAAAGGGAAGTAATAGGGGCCAATAAAGTAGAATGTAGGTGCCGTCACTCAGCAGGACCACTCTCTGCTACAGGAAGTGGCAATTGAACAGAACCTTGAGGATGAGTCCGCATCAGCGGAGACAGACCTGCTGCTGTTGTGGGTTGGGGGAAACATCCCAGGAAGAGGGAAAGAGCCAAGGAGCCTTTGAGGAACGGAAAGAAGTCCCCAGTGTCTGAAGAGCAGGGAGGCGCTCGAAGATCATAAAAGGGGAATCAGAAAGGGCTGGGCTGATTGGGAGTCAAGGTGATGCTACTGCATGGGAGTCCCAAAGGTCCCAATTGGAGGGGAGCTGACAGGTCCTCAGTCACAGCCCAGGATAAGCTGGCACCCGGCCTCCTGGAGATGGCCGCATACTCACCCATCATGATGTTCATGCCTTCGGAGCTGCGTTCCACCCAGGATCCTGCAGACAGGCCATCTTTAAATCGCCCACGGAGGGAGGGGTTTGACAAAAAGTACAGCAGCAGCTTTAATCCCAGTACGATGGTGCGGGGATGCAGGTGGCCCTGCATGAGCAGCAGGAACCAGTCAGGGGCCAGGCTCAGGAACATCTCTTCCTTTGTCCTGGGGGATCAATCAGTGTGATAAATTATCTCTCAGCCCATGAGCAAATGGCATGTCCAGAAAATACAAATAATGTGCAGCCTCACTAGTCACCTAGGAAAGGAAAGTTAAGGTTAACATCTGGATATCACTTACCAAAGTACATACTGCAGTTTTTAAAAAATGGTAAATAAAATGCTGGCAAAGTTGTTGTGAAATGGATGAATTTGTCTATTAATGGCTGAAGTGTAAGGTTTCCAAAGCAATTGGAAACAATGTATTAATAGATGTAAACATGCAGGCCCCTTGGCAGCTCTATTCCACTGATATTCACTCTTACACAGTGTCTGATAGCCACCCATCTAATTACAACAACATAGTCATATGAAACACATAATGGTTATTTGTCAAAACTAATCGAAATGAAATAGTCCAATGTTTCTGCATCTTTATCAGTTTAGGCAAAAAAAAAATACACGATTAACTGTCACTTTCAAAAATGAATTTTAAAATGATGAATCTGGAGAATATAGGCTTGCTAGGAGGGGACTGAAGGGCAGGGAGGTGGGCAGCCAATCCTTAGAGGCAAATGCTTAGCAAAGGACCCAGACTCCTGGGAGCCAGGGAAGGATCTAGCTGTGCCAGGCAGTGTTCTCTGTGCCAGCTGCCAGACCAGGCATGGGGAGGGTGTGGCTGCTGGACTAGGAATCAAGAGACCATCCTGTCTTCTAGCTCTGCCTCCGAGTGTACTAACTGGATGACTTGGGCAGACTTCTTGATGTACTCTGGTCATTGTCTTCCATTACAGTGATGGGGATGGGGATGAGGATGATGATGGTGGTGATGATGGTGATGATGGTGATGATGATGATGGTTGTGGTGATAGCAGTGAACATATAAGTATGTATGGCATTCCAGGCACCATACTACTCTGGGCTATCCACATATTAATTTCCACCTATGGCGGGTACTACTTTTATCCTCACACAGATGAGTAGAAGAGTACCTCCCCAAGGTTCCTGGGAACAGAGCTTGGATTTGAACCCAAGAGGTCTAGATATCTGAGCCCAGGTGCTTAAGCACTACATAATATTCCCTTTTAAAAAGAAGGAAAAGGAAGGGTTTGGACTAGCTCATCTCCAAGTTCTCCAGTTCTACCATGTCTTTATTCTAGCAATGTAAACACTTATGGACTAGCAAATTTTTAAGTATTATAATATTTGCAAAGCTGTTTTACTGAAGAGTAACTCCCACCTACTTCCCTGCCCCCAAAACACATACACACCAAAATGTCAATTCAACAAGAGCAAGAATCTGGACTGACTTGCTCAGCACCACATCCTTGAATTGAGGAACATTGTCGGGCACATAGTAGGTGCTCAATAAACAGTTGTTGAGTAAATGACTCCAGGGTTGAAGGTAAAGCAGGCCATCAGTGGGAGAGAGTTAATGGAATTTTATGATTATACATTGTTTTGAAAGTTAATTGAAGGCAGATACTTCTTTTTCCAACTTGGAAAAATAAACTAAGTAACTAACAGTAAATGGCAGAAGAATTTGGCAAGCATTTTCCTTGATAGATGTTATTTAGGCTAACCACTTCTCCATTCTATTGTCTGCCAAGTACAGGACATCAAAATCAGTAATTGTCACAACTGCCAAAACAATAACTATTATACTATAGCAATGGTGGCAAAAGGAGTTTATTGTAATTATACCAAATCTGTTTTGAGTTACTCATGTCCATTAAATATTTGCATCAGAATATCTTAGGGCAAGTTCTGCTTTATTAGGTGGAGAGAATATAATTTTCTTTCTGACTAGTGCAGGAAACATACTGCAGAAAGCTGACTCAGAGATGCTCCACTTTTCATTAAGAAAAGGTTTTCATACCACACCCTGTATGAGGCAACCTCATGCCAAGTCACACTCTTCCTGGAGCTACTTACTCAGAGGACAGATGAAGTTGGGAGGAAGATATTACATTGAGCAGCATCTCCAGCAACTGGTTTCTGAGCCAGATTGTCTTTCCAGATGTTTGGCTTCCAGCTACAAATAAGGAAATTTAAATGTGAGAGAAAACGGATGTAAAGAGACATCATATTTGCTGCAGTAAGGATCATATTCACCAAATGCTTATTTCACCCAGGAACTGGGGCATGGATGGGACTCTAAATTTTGGCATTTAATTCTAGACTTCAATACAATGCTTTAAAATTTTTAGGAAATGTTCCTACAGTTCCCTTTAACTAGAGATGTTTTAAATGCTTCCCATCTTCCCCAAAATCCTAAAAATGATAAGATGAAATGTATCTTCCAGTGGAAGGAATTTTTTAATTATCATAGGCTGCAACATTTCTTGAGCACCTACTATGTGTTGGGTATAACACAGGGCATTGGGAACACAGTGTGCTCAATCTTGGTTCCTGCTGTCAACGTGCTTCCAGGCTAGGCCTTTGGCATATCAATGTTGCAGTAAAAAGAGAGCTTGAATTATAGCAAAAGGTATATAGATTCAGTGGAAAAAGAAACTTCACATCTGAATGTTATCATAGCCCCAAAGGACATGTTATCACTGTCTTGAGAGAAAATGTCTTTTAGACAAAAGTTTCAGAATGGAGGCCATCTAAGAAGGAGGGCTGACTAAGTAAACTCACTCTTGGCCTATTACCCATCCATTCATTCATTTCCTTGGCTGGCTGGTTATTTTACAACCAAATCAGGGCACAGACACCATGCTGCAGAAATAGGGCTGACAGGCAGCTTGAAGGAGTGGAGTCAGACTCCCCTCCATTTGGAGTCTGTCCCCATCTCTTGTGAAGGTCCTAATCTCTTTGAGCCTCAGTTTCCTCATCTACAATTCCTATAGAAATTCCTACTTTTCAACCTTGATCTAAGGAGAAGAGAGAACTTAACCAGATTGAGTAACTCTGTCTAAGAGAACCTTCTGCAATGATGAGAATGTTCCGTATCTCCCCTGTCCATGTAGTAACCACCAGCTTTATGTGATTATCAAGTACTTGGAATGTGGCTAGCGTGACTGAGGAACTGAACTGTTAACTGCATTTAATTTCAATTAATTAAACTTTAAATGGTAACGTGTGACTCGAGGCTCCCATCTTGGACAGCACACATCTGGAGGGCTCAGGACAAAACAGACAGTAATCTAGCATGGTGGGATGAGGGAGGGCATGGGGGAGGGGCCAATATTACCGCAGAAGGAACAGCACCTGCAAAGTATGAACAGAGGGTAGGCCATCACACAGTAAGAGCTGCCAGTGCTTCAGAATGCTGAAGTCAGGGTTCATTGAGGTGGCAAAGGTGGGAAGATTCAACCAGGAATGTAGGCAGGGGCTGCAGCATGAAGGACCCTACCTGCTAATCTACAGGGAACTGAGTTTTATTCTGGAAGCTGTTCCAGGTTGTGAAGGAAGAATGTACAGTTGAATGTGATTGCTGACTCTAATCATAAAACTATGACCTCACAAGCCACTATTTGGGAATAACTGCTCATCTGTGCATCCTTTCCCCTCTTGTTGCCTCAGCTTTCCCCTCTACAGAATGGCCCTACAAGGTGTGGCTCTCAGCAGGACCGTGAGGGTTGTCCTGCTGTCTTCACACTGGCATCTTGGAAAGGTCTTCTCACCAGGCACAGAGGGCTCCAGGACTCCATCCACACAGACCTGCCTCTCGTCCACTGATGAAGGTTTGAGGGTGTACACAACAAACACTGCGATTCTTAATGCAGAAAGAGAAGGAAACAGTCATCAGTGGGCTCAGCCATGTCTGCTGAACAGTTTCTACACAGATCCACCCAAGTGCGGCTTCAAGGGGGGGTCCAAGGGTAATCCCATTATTTGTGATCATGTAATATTTCCAAGGACTTCTAAAATTAGTCAGGATTCATCAGAGCAGTTAACTCTGGCTCTGCCAGGTCAACAGAACAGAGAGTGATGACAGAAAAGGCTAAATATTGTGCCAGGTGGAGCTGTCCTTTGGGACGTCTGTAAAAGGCAGACATGTTCGGTCGTCAGCTGGTGGTGATGGCTGTGCTCACAGAACATCTTGAATTCTTGGCACAGGTGTTTCTGAGCACCAGGGGGCAGTGAACACACAGCCCTGCAGGAGAGTCTTGCACACCCACCCCTTTTCTCAACGCTCAGCTCTGCACAGAACCCCTTTCAAAGGTTCCAAGGAATAGAAGCTGCCACTGCATTAAAGGGTAGTGATGATGGGTTGAGTGTGGTCAAGAGAGCTGGGGCCTATATTCCCTCATAAAAGGGTCCCAAGGCTCTGCCCTTCACCCTGGGAAGCTTGTGTAGTACCTGAGAAAATCCTGGATGCTGAAGTAGCCCCTCAGCTGACAGTCCAGAATGGCAATGATGATGGGGATCTTGGAGGGGTTGAGGCCTGGCTCATTGAAGAGGAAGACGAGCTTGGGTATAAGCTGTGCCTGGTGAGCCACTTCAGCATTCCGGGGGCCTTCCCTGGTGAGTGCAGGAAAAACACAGTAAAAGCTTTTACTGGAATGAACCAAATTTTCTGTGTTTCTCCTAAAAAGGTTTTCCAGGCTGAGCTTGCTCTGTGGCCCTCTGACTCCGATGCTCACTTGGCAACTCATCAAAATGCTGTCAGACACCCATCGAATACATGTCTGCCAAGGGCCAGAGTCACTTGGGGAAAGGCTCCCTACCCTTTGCCGCCCCAGAAACTGCCTTCAAAGACAAACCCCAATTATTGGCTTTTAAATTCCAAGCCTCAGGGAAAATTAATGGTGGTCTCAGAAAACTCAGAACAAAGCCAGCAGACTCCATGTGACCACCAGCACTTCCCAACAGCCAGGGGCACGGGGACCTTGGCGAGCCTGTCTGGTGTATGTTCTTCCTGCCCGCCCCAAACCACAAAGTGGATGAACACACCGCCGAGAGTCAAAAGGGAACAAGTCAGAATTCAAGTATCCACAGCCCCCTCCTTAGGATAATCACAATGCAATTTCCAGTAAATGCTACTCCCCCCACAAAAACAGCTCCCAGGATAAATGCTCACCTCTTAGAAAACAACAGGTACAGAAAGTGGAAAATGGCGGGCGGGGGGGGAGTTTGGGTAGATTGCTCTTTGTTGAACTGTCTTTTCAGTACTAACATGTTAAATTATGCCGAGCTCCACATCTCTGACACACAAAAGAGGCAG